CAGGAGTTTTATTTGTAAATTTGTGAACTGTTCGTCATATGAGCATATGGCATGAAAATGCATAATGATAGTTCCGTTGTATGAGGTAATTTGAACAGGTAGAATCACCATCATCAAGAAACTATTCCTACTGCAGTTTTGTCTGATCTCATAGACTCAATGTCTTTGAGGGATTTGTAGTTTTGTTTATTTGTGTATGGATGGCGTCCCTGATCTCATTGTATTTATCTTTCTTCTAACAAAAGGACACAATAATGTTGTGTTTTTTTATTTCTTTAGGGCGGGGGTGGCAGTCGGGTGGTTCTTTCCTTTATATCTATTCAAAGTTTTGAATTTTGTGTCTAACATACTTCATCAAATTGTAGTGGTCCATGGATGTCTTCATTTTAACTGTTTCTTAGATATTCTTTTCAAAGAAGTGCATGCTTCTGAAAGGCCTGTTCAAGATGTTCTGTTTTGAATGTGACATGTATTTCTCATGGATTTTTCATCCCAAGTGGATTTTCATAAGCACTGGTTGTTATCGAGTCTTGTCTTGCTTCTTTTTTGGTGAAGGAAAAGGAAAAATTATAAAAGTAGGTAACAATAGGAAGCCATCCATGTACATCACAAAAAACATAGTATAGAATATCCTGTTTTTTTCTAGCCCATTTCCATGATGATTCAGCAAATCATGTAGTATCATAATTTTAAATACAATATAACAATCTTTTGGTACTTTCTAACTGCTATTAGTTTGTAGGGGTTTGCAGAATGTCGAAGTTTTGGAAGCTCAGGTCAGTTAGAGGGAATTGTTGCTCTCACAGCCCGTCGTAGCAGGCTCCATCCTGGTACTCGATACTTGGCTAGGGGATTGAATTCATGTTTTAGCACAGGTAAGCTGATCTTTCAATATCTCTTGGAATCAAATTGATTTTCTCATCTAGGAACATTTGCCAGTAATTCTGGATCTGCAGGATGGAAGCTGGATTATGTTTGCTTGATCTTGTTCAAGCTTGTGGAGGTACTTTGATGACGTCTAAGTTAGACAAATAATCTAGAATTCAAAAGGTTACATTGGAATCCATCAGAAAAATCCGAAATTCCTGGAATCCACAAAGAAAATGATTGTTCATTGAAGAATAATGTAAAATTTAGTGAGAATTGAGTGTCTACTTTATAATTCATAGGGCTTATATATTTATAATGTCCTTAAACTATTACTAAAAGAACAATAATTATTAAAAAAAAGAAATCTAGTACTAGATTAATTAGTACATTTAATTAAATAAGAATAAATCATAGCAGATATAGAATATAAATCATAACTAACTAGGAAAATAATTAAAATAATGTTAAAATACTAGCCTGTTAGAAATATAAGTCTAAGACAAATGTTCACACTTTAGATAATAATAGTAGCAGTACTCATGTAATTGTTCTTTGCATCATTATCTCTAAAAGAAAACTCGTCCTAGAGTTTTAAAGTATTGAAGAATAAAGTACTGAAGAATTAAGAAACTCAATCGATGAACATCTAAAAAATTTTGTGGGAAACCTTGTAACTTGTTGCTTCTACAAGGAAAGACATTTGCCAACAATGACATAAAACCAAGAAGGGAGGAAAAACTCATAAAATTCCTAATTTTTTTCTCAATTTTCTTTTTGGATCAAATGTTAATAGCCTTATCTTCCCATGAAACATATTGATCAATCTCACAATTATCTTTACGATGAGCTTCATCGTCATTGAAAATCTATCTTTTCAACTTCTTTCTTGCTCCAAGACTTGTTACTCATGTGATTCGTTGATTTGCTTTCTATTGTTTTTTTAACTTGGTCTTTAACTCTGTTAGAATATTATAGAATATTTCCTAACATAATAGTATGATTATATTTTTAAGTATGTAAGCTTAATTAGAAAGAAAATTATTAGGGTAATTTATGTTGAACACCATATATGAATTTATCTACATGTATATATATCCTTCCTTTTGCTTCAATAAAACATAAGATATTCAGTAGTTCTTTCCCTAATTCTTACATGGTATCAGAGTTAGGGTTAGGGTTTTAGAAGTCAAATTTCATCATACCAAAAGAGGGTTAAACAACCCATTTCTAGCGTCGGAGGAAGTCGACCAGCGATCTCTGGCCAGTTTAGAGTGCGGCCATCATGGTGGTGTACGCAGGAGAAGCTGAAACGATGGTTTGCGCGGCAGAGTAAGGCTATGTGTGTTGGGTTTGTCAAAGAAATGTATTTCTCGACGGTTTGCTTTCCCATTCGAAGAAAGAAGCAATAAAGGGGTTTGGTCGATCGACTCTGTGCACGAAACCAGAAGGTTGAAGAAAGAAAAGGCGCGGCGGAGTAGATCGCGTGGCAGGAAGCGATTCTTTGCTCTCCAGCCCGATTTCGGTTGTCTTTGCGAGTGTCATTCCAGATTAGGGTCGCCATTGGAGTTATGTGGTGATTTCCGGCTGAAATGAGGCTGTTTGGTAGTTTCAGACGGCAGCGTGTGTAACTCCAGCGGCGGCGCGTGCAGGGGGGCAGATTTCCAGTGGTTGACAGTGAGGTTCTGGTAGGGTTGTTGATACCCGCACGTGGAGAGGTACTCTGTTTTCTCAAATTTTATGGTATATTTGTAGTGTTTTTGTTGTATCTCTAATAGTTGTATTTTAGTATTTTTGGGTGATAATTTGTGGATATTTTCGAATTAAAAATGAGTGATAACAAGTTTTCAGTGAGTGAGATAGTCCCGGCCATATCAAAGATCACTGAGTATAAATTAAATGACACAAATTATTAAGTGGAGCAAAACTATTAGGGTTTATCTACGCAGTATTGATAAAGATGATTATTTGACTCAAGACCCTCTCACTTATGGAACTAGATCAATCTGGTTAAGAGATGATGCACGGTTGTTTTTACAGATCAGAAATTCGATTGACAATGAGGTAATTAGCTTAATTAATCGCTATGAGTTTGTTAAAGAACTGATGGATTATTTAGAGTTTCTGTATACAGGCAAAAGAAATGTGTCCCGCATATATGATATTTGTAAAACTTTCTATTATGCTGAGGAGGCCAAATCTCTCACGACCTATTTTATGGAATTTAAAAAGACATATGAGGAGCTTAATGTACTTTTTCCATTCAGTGCTAATATCAAGGTACAACAAACACAGAGAGAACAGATGGCGATAATGAGTTTCTTGGTTGGTCTTCCAGCTCAATTTGAGACTGCTAAATCTCAAATCTTATATGGTTTCGAGATCACATCTCTTTAGGGAGTTTTCAGTAGAGTAGTACGTACAGAGACTACTACACCTAATCAGCATACTAATGTTCTTATTGCTAGAAGAGGAAGAAGAAATAATAACAGGGGAGGAAACTGAGCAATAGATAGTCGATATAATGATTCAAGTAATATTGTTTGTTATTACTGTCATGAGCAAGGACATACGAAACGATAATGTAAGAAATTACAGAATCAAAATCAGAGAACATAAATTGCGAATATTGCTACTGCTTACTCATCTTCTGAGAAAACTATTGTGGTTTTAGCTGACGAGTATGCAAGGTTCTCTTAGTTTCAAGAATCTTGGGAAGACCGCACACCAGCCATTATTTCTGTTGAATTAGGTAAAAGATGTCTTATCTCTTCATCAAACAAATAGGTGATTGATTCTGGTGCTACAAATCACATGACAGATAACTCTAATATCTTCTCTAACTTTCGATCACGCAGAGCACCATCTCCTGTAACTATTGCTGATGGGTCAACCTGTAGTATTGGGAGTTCTGAGACTATAAAATCAACTATCATCATTACCCTGACATATGTTTTAAGTATATTAAAACTTGCTTTCAATTTGATTTCTGTAAGTAAATTTATCAAAGATCTTAATTGTTATATCTCACTCTTTCCTGATCATTATATTTTTCAGAATCTTATGACGAAACAAATTATTGGTAAAGGACATATATCAGAAGGTCTCTACATTCTTGATAATTGGGTGCCTCGATCAGTTGTCTTCTCTAGTATTTTCTCTCCATTTGAAGTACATTATCAGTTGGAGTATCCATCTTTCACTGTGTTAAAGAAGTTGTGTCCTCAGTTTTATGATATATCTTCTTTAGATTGTGAGTCATGTCAGTTTGCAAAACATCATTGTAACTCGTCAAGTTCAAGAATTAATACACGAGTTGAGTCTGCTTTTGAATTAATTCACTATGATATTTTTGGGTCCATGTCCTATTATGTTTAAAACAGAGTTTAAGTATTTTGTTACTTTTATTGATGATTTTTTTCGAATGACTTGGATATAATTTATGAAAAATCATTTTGAAGCATTTGTTCATTTTTGTGCTTTTCATGCGGAAATCAAAAATCAATTTAATGTTTCTGTGCATGTGCTAAGAAGTGATAATGCTAAAAAATATATGTTAGACTCATTTCACAATTATATAACTCAACATGGAATTCTTCATCAGTTCTCTTGTATTGATACATCATCTCAAAATGGGGTTGTCGAGAGAGAACAAACATTTACCTGAGATTGCTCGAGTTCTCTTGTTTCAAACAAAAGTTCCTAAGCAATTTTGGATTGATGCTGTATCCACTGCCTATTTCCTGATTAATCGTCTACCATCTGCAGTATTTGACGGTGATATTCTTTACAATATTCTCTTTCCAAACAAGACATTGTTTCCAGTACAGCTGCGGATATTTGGTAATACTTGTTATGTTTAAGATGTTCAACCAAATATTACTAAGTTGGATCCCAAAATCTTGAAATGTATCTTTTTAAGATATTCTCGCCTGCAAAAGGGATATCGGTGTTACTCTTCAGATCTCAATAAATATCTAGTGTCAACAGGTGTAGTCTTTTCAGAGAGTATACCATTTTTCTCCTCACAATCCAGCTCTACAGATCAAGTGAAAGACGATGAGTGACTTATTTATAGATTTCATAACAGTACTTTTATAGAGCAACTAGATAATGGTATTTCTTTTGATGTGTCTTCTGAACAAACTAATGATGGTATGCCTCTACCTCAAGAACAACTGTTCATTATTCATGTTTATTCCATAAAACAACAAGCTAATAATACATATCCTGTGCCAACTTCTTCGTCATCCGATCCTTCCACCCACGATCTTGATCTTTCCATCAGTTTTCGTGAAGGTACACGTCAATACACCATTCCTCATTCTACTTATCCTATTGCTAACTTAATTTCATATGATCATTTGTCTCATTCGTCTAGCTCTTTAATTTTTTATATAGATTCTACTTCCATGCCCAAAACAGTTAAGAATGCTCCGAATCACCTTAGTTGGTGTAATGCTATGCTTGAGAAGATAAATGCTTTTGATGATAATCATATATGGGATCTGGTAAATTTGCCCAAAGAAAAAAAGGCTGTGGGGTGCAAATGAGTATATTTGCAGTCAAAGTGAATTCAGATGGTTCTGTGGTGAGACTTAAAGCTCGATTGGTAGCAAAAGATTATACTTAGACTTATAGGGTGGACTATTCTGATACATTCTCTCCAATGGCAAAACTTACCTCTGTTCGTTTATTCATATCTATTGCAGCTTCTAAAGACTAGCCCTTGCACCAGCTAAATATTAAAAATACTTTTCTTCATGGTGATCTCTTAGAAGAAGTGTATATGAAGTAACCACTTGAGTTTGTTGTTCAGGGAGAGTACGAAAAAGTTTGTCATTTAAAGAAATTTTTTTATAATCTGAAGCAGAGTTCCTGTGCGTGGTTTGACAAGTTTAATGAGGTAGTATGTGAATTCGGACTAAGGAATAACAAATGTAATCATTTAGTCTTTTATAAACAATCAACAACTGGTATTATACTTATTATTGTTTGTGTTGATAATATTGTGGTTACAGAAGATGATCATGTATGAATATTCTCTCTCAAGTCATTCCTGCATACCAAATTCAATACTAAAGACTTGGGACAATTAAACCATTTCTTAAGGGTTGAAGTAACAAGAAGGGAAGGGATTTTGTTATCTCAGAGGAAGTATGTACTTGATCTACTTGCAGAAACAAGAAAGTTGAGAGGTAAGCCATGCAATACGTCTATGGTACCAAATGTACATCTTACAAAAAATGATAGTGATCCCCTTGATGATCTAGAAAAATACAGACCTCTTGTTGGGAAATTGAATTATCTCATTGTGACTCGTCCATATATTACATATCCTGTCAGTATTGCTAGTCAATTTATATTTACACTTACAATTAAACATTGGGAGGTTCTGAAACAGATTCTGTACTACTTAAAAGGTACCCTGGGACTCGGTATAATGTTTAGAAATCATGAATGTACTCATATTGAATGTTTTACAGATGCTGATTGGGCTGGATCGAAAATTGATAGGAGGTCTACTACGGGTTACTGTGTTTTTGTTGGTGGGAATCTCGTATAATGAAAAAGTAAGAAACAAACAGTTGTATTTCGCTCAAACGCAGAGTCTGAATATATAGTTATGACTCAATCCGCATGTGAAGTCTTATGGATACATAATCTTTTAGAAGAAGTGGGTTTGAATCCCACATCTCATGCAAAACTTTGGTGCGATAATCAGGCTGCCATTCATATTGCCTCAAATCCTATATATCATGAAAGAACCAAACATATCGAGGTTGATTGTCATTTCGTTCGAAAAAAGATTCAGGAAAACTTTATATCTACTGGTTATGCGAATACAAGAGAACAACTTGGTGATATATTTACAAATTCTCTGAATGGAACACGGATTGAATATTTTCGAAACAAGCTGCGCATGATTAATATTTATGCTTTAACTTGAGGGGGAATGTTAGAATATTATAAAATTTTTTTTAACATAATAGTATAATTATATTTCCAAATATGTAAGCTTAATTAGTAAAAAAGTTATTTGGATAATTTATGTTGTTTATCATATATGAATCCGTCTACACGTATATATATCCTTACTTTTGTTTCAATAAAACATAAGAATATATTAAGTATTCATTTCCCTAATTCTTACACACTCCTTCATATAACTTTGAGTTCTTGTCATGAGTCATCATTTTGCTGGACCAGTTCAAAATTTCCCTTTCATATCTCCTCAAGTGCGAACTCTTTTTCAACTATCCAAGAAGTTGGCTAATTTATTTTAGAAATTTTGTAATTCTCGCAAAATAAGTTTCTTACCATCCCAAAGAACATAAATATTTCTTTTGCAACTGTGAAGGACATTTGTATAAATGACAAGATTTCATCTCACCACATTGTAACACACTTCATCTTCATAAGACTCTTCAATATAAAAAGGAAAATGAGAGAATGTAATTTAGCATTATAATCTGAGTATATGGTGCAAGAATTGGCCCAGTTGGTAATTGCAAGTAATCTAA